CCCTGGGGCTAATTTTCATTTTCCATTATGCACATGGGTTGCTTTTTTTAATTTTTTTAAATTTTTTTTATGACAGGCAGAGTGGACAGTGAGAGAGAGAGACAGAGAGAAAGGTCTTCCTTTGCCATTGGTTCACCCTCCAGTGGACGCCCCGGCCAGCGCACCGCGCTGATCCAATGGCAGGAGCCAGGTACTTATCCTGGTCTCCCATGGGGTGCAGGGCCCAAGCACTTGGGCCATCCTCCACTGCACTCCCTGGCCACAGCAGAGAGCTGGCCTGGAAGAGGGGCAACCGGGACAGAATCCGGCGCCCCGACCGGGACTAGAACTCGGTGTGCCGGCGCCGCAAGGTGGAGGATTAGCCTAGTGAGCCGCGGCACCGGCCTTGAACAGTGTATCTTTCCTCACTCATCTGCAATGCTTGCTGTGTCATAAATCAGGTTTTTATATATTTGGCCCTTTATTGATCCACTGGTTTGTCTGTTCCTGTGCTGACAACACGTTGCTTTAATTACTCTTGCTGTGTAATTAGTATTCATATCTGGTAAATAAAGTTCTGCTACCTTGTTCTTTTAAAGAGAAATTAGCTTTTTGTTTTCACATACATTTAACTAAATTTTTTAAAAATTTGTTTGAGAGACAGAGAGTGAGACACACACACACAGAGAACATTCCCCAAATGCCAGTGCCCCAGCCAAGAAGTTGGGAGCAGGGAATACATTTCGGTCTCCCACAGTGGTAGCAGAAACCCAATTAGCTGAGCATCACTGCTGTCTCCCAGGGTCTGCCTTGGCCACCCAGAGCAGGAATCAAACCCAGGGACTCAGCTGTGGGACACGGGGGATCTTAGCTGCCAGGCTAAATGTCGGTTCCTGCATATATATTTTAGAGTCACTTTATCACATTTCATGGCAAGCCCTATTGAGAATTTCATTAAAGTCACTTTGGATTTGGGTGCAGTTTAAAGAGCTATTATAACTTGAATCAACTGAGAAGACTTTTGCCTAAAAATTGAATCCCGGAGAGGCCCTGACAAAGAAATGCAAAGAACAGCCCTATATGTTTAGAACCTTTGGTCATCTCTTGCAGCGGGAGAGGACAGCCCAGTGACTCCAAGCATTAGCTAAAGATGAGAAAGCAGTTGGCACATAGTGATCTCGGCCACTATTTCTTCTAGTGGATTTGAAGGAAGGATTGCGAGGAAAAGAAGGAAAGGTGGATGTGCTGACGGTTCCAAGTGCTGTTTCTTACTCCTGTTCGCCTATTCGGAGACAATGGCGAGGAGGTGGCATTTGAGCAGGGGGCGCGCAGTTAGGCGAGTCCCACGGCCAGCGTGTCTCTGGGTGCTGTGGCAGGTGGGACGCCAGAAAGAAAAAGGGTTCGGGCCATTCCGGGCACACGGAAGCAGAAGAGGGCTTGTTCGCTTTGAGTGGGAGATACAGCTGGGGAAATAAAGTAGCGGTCCGATTGTGCAAGGCCACGAGGAGAACTAGGTCGAGGACTTTGGACTTTATCCCGGGACGTCAATGGAAGCGCTAGAACAGAGGAGTTAAGTAGCTGGATCCGAAGTTCAGGAAGATAACTGCGGCTACAGCCAAGCAGGAGCGCGCGAGGTTGCGCTCCACCCGACGGCGCGGGGGAAAGCGCCCAGTGCAGGTCTTTCACCTGCAGGGGGCACACCATGGAGCCCTTCCCGCTCCTCGCCCAGCCGCCCCGGTTCCGACGCTCCGACGCGCTCGGCACTCGGCTAGCTCTCCTGGACACGCCCCGCCTCCGGCGTCCGCTACTAAGTCTGGACGCGCCGCCGTGCGTCACGTCCGCTCCGGCGTGAGGCTCCTTACAGCCGCAGAGGGGCGGGAAAAGAAGTCTGTGCGCCTGCGCCGCGGGTCCCATTCGGCCGTTACCACTGAGAGGCCCACGGCAGCTTGGCGTGTAAGCTCTCACGCTTTTGAGTTCGGCATGCCTGTCTTCTCTTGCTGCCTGTCCAATAGGCCTTTTGCGGCATCCCAAGAGCTACAGGCAAACAGCGCGTAGGGGCTCGAGTGCTCCTTGACCTTAGCTTTGCCAGCTGCAACACGCGAGGTGTCTCCCCTTCCAGCTGCTTGCTCTGGCTGTGGCCGAGACTTGCACCCTAGTGAAAACCTGCTCCGGCCTCTCAGCTTGTCCAGCTGACTGTAATCCATGTTTCCTAGGGCTTGATTTCCTCAGGAGCCAAATCGGTGCTCACTGCAACCACTGAACCCTCCCTGGCATCCTGAGCGAGTTGAGTATAGGGTTTTTCCTTGCACAGCCCCGAAGGGCGCTCGTTTCCTGGGACAAATACTTTATATCGTCTTAGTGAAAAGTTTTCTCCATGCAACTTTTCTATATTCCTTAATAAAAAAATTTGCACCCCTTGTGTGCAGGCGCTATAGGTCCTGAGGATACAACGAGGAGCAAGATTCGCAAGATGGATGACCTCCTGGAGTTTGGGGGAGACCAACAAGCAAAATTGAGGCGTGTAATTAGCCAGGGCTTGCGGTGCTGGCTGTTAAAACCAGCCAAGTAGGCCGGCGCCGCGGCTCACTAGGCTAATCCTCCGCCTGCGGCGCCGGCACACTGGGTTCTAGTCCCCGTCGGGGCGCCGGATTCTGTCCCGGTTGCCCCTCTTCCAGGCCAGCCCTCTGCTGTGGCCAGGGAGTGCAGTGGAGGATGGCCCAAGTGCTTGGGCCCTGCACCCCATGGGAGACCAGGAGAAGCACCTGGCTCCTGGCTTCGGATAGTGGCCATTTGGGGGGTGAACCAGCGGAAGGAAGACCTTTATCTCTGTCTCTCTCTCACTAACTCTGCCTGTCAAAAACAAACAAACAAAAACAAAACCAGCCAAGTGAAGAGTTGGGACTGAGACCTAGAAATGAGCAAAGATTTTGCAGTAGGAAAGAGGATGGGGTTTTCTAGCAAAAGGCAGGAGACTAATGTGCTCGGAGAGTGGTGGGGAAACGCAGAGAATATAAATGGCCGGGTGCACGGCTTTGTGGGATACCATGAGAAGTTTGAAATGTATTCTTTTTGACAGGCAGAGTTAGACAGTGAGAGCGACAGAGAGAAAGGTCTTCCTCCCCTTGGTTCACCCCCCAAATGGCTGCTATGGCCGGCACTGCGCTGATCCCAAGCCAGGAGCCAGGTGCTTCCTCCTGGTCCTGGTCTCCCATGAGGGTGCCGGGCCCAAGCACTTGGGCCATCCTCCACTGCCTTCCTGGGCCACAGCAGAGAGCTGGACTGGAAGAGGAGCAACCGGGACAGAACCGGCGCCCCAACCGGGACTAGAACCCGGTGTACCCGCGCTGCAGGCGGAGGATTAGCCTAGTGAGCCGCGGCGCTGGCCTGAAATGTATTCTAAGAGCAACGAAGAGCCAAGGAATAGTTGGCAGCAGACCACCAGTGTAGGCTCACTCCTTTAGAACCACACAAAGCCTTTTCACCTATATCAGCCCTGTAGGTAGTGGAAGGGGTCTAACACGTTCTCCACTGAGACGCCCCCAACTCGACTCCAAACAATGTAGGTTCTCCTCTTCCAGAGGACTGACTGACGGGTTTCAAAATGTCACTGAACACTTCTGAAAGTGTAAATCAGGCATGCCCATTTTTAAAAGGAAAAAGCCCAAGACTTGATTCAGATTCTCAGAGAAGTTCTGTAAAGATTAAGATGCACCGCTTAAACATTTCTCAGCTTTGGGATCCTGGCTATTGTTCCATGGACCAGCAGGACACAAATGCCAGCTCAACCCAGGCTAGTCCTCTGCACTGTCTTCTCTGTGAAATGAAAACATGATTGCTGTGAGGGCTCAGGGAGCGATACTTTAGTGTTTAATGAAAACCACGAGGTGTCTACCCAACAGTGGTATTGGAAACCAACATCTGCAGCCCTGGAACCGAGGGACAAATTTATACACTGCACCTTTAGCATTCCACAAGCATTCCCTGGAGAAAAAGATCTGCCTTGCAGGCGTTCACGATCTAACCAAAATGCCGGGGAAGATAGAAAACGCAAAACAGACCAAGTGAGGTTCTCTGGAACCTGGGAACCGCGTATGATGTCCCACTTTCCAGGGCAGGGAAGCACTGACTGGAGTTGGTTGTCTGATGTGGGTTTGCGCAGGCTGAACCTGAACACCCATTCTACCCTTGCTGTGGAAAGGCCGGCTGGAAACATCGCAGTCGCTTCTGCCACCTGACAAATACTGAGCAGAGGGAAACCTATCTTTGTGCAGTCTGTTTACTATACGTTGCACGCTCCGAGCAGCCCTTATCCTCATGGTCGGGAACAAAGTACACACACAGACCCAGACACACACACACACCCCTTTCCGAAACCAAGGCCCGGGGACTCCAAGAGAGGGGTGGGATCCCTCGCGGCGCGGCCACACAATGGGGGCCGTCTCAGCACAGCTCGCCTCCCACCCCCACCCGCAGGCCCCATTCGGCCAGGGTTCGACTTCTCGGGCCCCACCGCCCCTCCCCTGCAGCCCCCGGGAGCGCAGCCACAGCCGGGCCCGGCGCCCTCCCTCGCCCTCCCTCCTTCACCGGGAGCCGGAAAACCCGGAGGGAACCGGCCCAGCCCGGCGGCGCATGCTCAGTAGCGCGCAGGTTCAGTTCGCTAGTAGGAAGCTCCAGCGCTGCACCGGCGGCGGCGGCGGCGGCGGCGGCCGCGGTGCAACCCGGCGGCCGGAACCCCAGCGGCGACTTCGGGCCCTTCCTCGCCCCCGAGCTCCCTCCCGCTCTAAGACTCTAGCGTGTCGAAGTCCTCGCTGGGCGAGCGGGCGCCGCGGCAGGAGCGCCCCTCCACACGCCCTCCCCCTGCCGCCAGCTCCTCGGCCGGGCAGGCCGGGCCCGGAGCGGAGCGTAGCCCCGGCAGCGGGCGGGCGGGCGGCGGCCGCGGCGGAGGGCAGCTCGGGGCGGCGCCGGCGGGCCGGGGAGGGGCGGGGGGCCTGGCCCCAGGGCGGTGGTGCGGCCGGGATGCCGCCGCCGCCGCCGCCACCTCCGGGCCGTGTTCGCTCTCCGCGGCTGGTGCCGGTGTCGGGCGGGTGGCCGCGCGCGGGCCTCGTCCCGCAGCCGCCTCTCCGGGGCTAGTCCGGCCGTGCGGCGCCCCGAGGGGGCCGGGCCGTCCGGAGGGGCCGCGGCCCTGTTCCGCGCTGCGAGCTCGCCCTCTCGCGGCTTCCCGGCCGGGCCGTCGCCGCCGCCCCTCTCCCCGCCCAGAGGCGCCCCGGGGGCACCATGCAGGCGCAGCAGCTGCCGTACGAGTTTTTCAGCGAGGAGAACGCGCCCAAGTGGCGGGGGCTGCTGGTGCCTGCGCTGAAGAAGGTGAGGAGCGCGGGGAACCCCGCTGCCCGGCCGCAGCCCCCGAGGCGGGCGCCGGGTCGGAGCCCGGCCGGGGAGGCGGGGCGCGCGCGGGCAGGGCCGCCTTTCTTCCCGGTCCCTCCGCAGCCGGCGGGCGCTCGGCGGGGACGTGCACCGGTGTGTGGGAAGGCAGGCCGCGGGGAGAGGGTCGGAGACAGCAGTCGGGGGAGCCCCGGGGTTCAGCGGAGGTCAGCGCAGGCCACCCCTCCTCCTGGCCGGTCTCTTTGCCGAGCTGCTGTCAGCCTCCCGGTTGAAGTGTCCGGGACGCTCCTTTCACTGGCCCGATAACGCTCTGGCCATCATGTTTGCTGCGAGCTTGCCTGCCGGCGGCAGCATGGCCTGCTTTGCTCCCTCTGCGTTCTCCTGGGCACCCCCTCCGATTAACGAGGAGCTGCTACACATGCCAGTATTTTCAGACTTATTATTTTTTGACGGTTGAAAATCTTGGTGATGTCATTTGGGTTAGAATTTTTAACCTCTGTTTTGTATGTTTACGTTGGCCACATTGTTATCTAAAGTTATATAGGAAATGTTGCTACATTTTGTTTGTAAAGCAACGTTGTGACAAACACTGCACGTTAAAAACATCAGAAACTGGTGTGTGAGTTTAAAAACAACTGGACTGTTTTCGTTTCCTTTTCTTCATTTCTTCCTTTTCTGGTGGGGTGGCTTTATGCTTTCAACTGTGTGTCTAAATCCCAGTTTCTTGTTGCCCAAAGAATGTTTCATGAGATCTGGTTAAAATACAGCTTTGCTCCTCCTGAGGGCTGGGGTTATGGTTAGTCTTTCATGGTAAACATTTCCACTTGAACACAGTGTCTTAAAAGGTGTCTGAGTTTATCCAAGGCCAGAAGCTTTTACTTTCTTTTTTTGCCCTGGTCTCCCCCTCCCCCTTTTGCAGTCTTACAGTGGAACCTACTTAGTTAGCAAAATCTGCTCATATATTAAGGATTGAACTACCAACTTTTCCCCCTCAAATGTTTGGCTAGTCATTAACATCTCTTTGGTGTTTTCTAATAAAGTGTGTTTTGTGTGTGTGTGTGTGTGTGTGTTATCGGTATACTTCATTCATTAGAACTCCTACCAGGTTCTCCATCTGTTTAGTTGTGCTTTGCCTGCAAGTGTGTCTTCTTGTGATAGAAGGGGAGTAGGAGGTCACAGTGGTGCTAGAAGCTGGTGTTCCATCAGGGTAGAGGAAAATAAAACAGTTGTCTGAAAACATACCCAAAAAGCCTCATGAAGCATTACTCACTTGGGGTCATTTTGCTTAGAAGCTTACAGGTCCCATCCCAGGGGAACCACCGGTCTGTGGGTTGAGGATCCTTGGAAGTAGTGCAAAGAATGGCATTAGAATTGGCAGACTCACTGTCTGCCACGTGGGGGGCCCTGCTGGGATCTGTCCTCAGAAGAGTTTTGTTTGGCTGGCACAGTGTTGTTTATTGTTAAGTGTTTACACATGGGAGATATTACACAAAATCTGAATTCACAGCTTTTGTTGAAGAAAAATCTCTCCACTCAGGTCCCACGTGAAAAGCCAGCCAGTGACCTGCTGCGGGTGCATGGATAGCTGCCGTCTTTAGACAGGTGCACATTGGCGTTTACAAAGTCCTCAGCAGTCCCCTTTGCTTGTTTACATAAAACAATGCTTAGGTGTTTATTGACTTGAAAGTTTGGGCAGTGGAGAGAGAGGGAGAGTGAGAGAGAACACCTTGCTCTCCTCTGCTGGCTAACTTTCCCAGTGCTCATAATGGCGAGGACTGAAGCTGGGAGTTGGGAGCTCCAGGTTTCCCATGTGGGTGACAGGAACCCGATTACTTGAGCCGTCACAACTGCCTCTTGGAGTCCATATTAGCAAAAGCTGGAATCAGAAGCCAGGGCCTGATATTGAACCCAAACTCTGGCTTAGCAGCTAGGCCAAACGCCCACCTCTACACAAAGGGGCTTTTGACTCTAACAGAGTTGCCCTTGGAATAGAAATGATGGGAGGAGGTAGAAGTGTACAGTCTGACTGATAAATGTATCTTCCAATTCTTATCCAACTGTCTACCAGCAGGGAGTCTAAGCCACCTAAGACAAAGTTGAAAATATGTTTCATATCTACATGCTCTTGGTAGTTCAACACCTGTATTTGCACCTGCTTGCTGGACATTTTCTGTGGATATCTTCATAGCTGGAACTCTTCCTTCAGACTTATGAGACTATTTTATTTGTATATGTGCCCACCTTGCAGTCTGTTACCTGAGGCTCCTTGGGCCTCCTATTCCTGGTGCCTGGACTGCCCTCGTTACCTGGCGCAACACCGCTCATCCTTCAGGGCTCTGTAAACCTCAGCTTTTCTCATCTCCTCAGGACTAACTTGGATATCAGTTTTTTGTTTAACACCCTGTCATAGCTCAAAAATTATTTATGTTCACTTTATTTGAAGGACAGAGAGAGAGAGAGAGATCTTCCATCTACTGGTTCACTCCCCAAATGCTTGCAAACAGCCAGGGCTGGGCCAGGTCAAAGCCAAGACCCTGGAACTCCTTTTGGGTCTCCCAGTTGGTTAGCAAGGACTCAGGTTCTTGAGCTACCATCTGCTGCTTTCCAGAGAGAGCATTAGCAGGAGGCTGGAATCAGAAGCCGAGGAACCAGGACTTGACCAGGCACTGTGATTTGTGGCATGGGCATCTTTTTTTTTTTTTTTTTTTTTTTTAATAGATTTATTTGAAAAACAGAGTTACAGAGAGAGGTAGAGACAGAGAGAGAGGTCTCCCATCTGCTGGTTCACTCCTTAAATGGCTGCAACAGCTGAAGCTGCGCCGATCCAAAGCCAGGAGCCAGGAGCTTCTTCTGAGTCTCCCTTGTGGGTGCAGGGGCCCAAGGACTTGGGCCATCTTCCATTGCTATCCCAGGCCACAGCAGAGAGCTGGATTGGAAGTGGAGCAGCCAGGACTAGAACTGGTGCTCGTATGAGCATCTTAACCACTGTGCCAAATGCCTGCCCCCCCCCCCCATGCCAGCTCTTAACAGTGACTCTTAAGTTCCTAATTATGTGTCTGCCTCTCCTCACCAGAATGGACTGATGCTTCTCCAGAGCAGGCATGCCTCGCCCTCCTTTGTCCAGCCTGCCTGTAGTGCTCTGTGAGGCATTCAGCTTGGGTGGATGGGTGAAAGAATATCCAAAATAAATCATTGCCCCTTCCCATGTCCTTTTACAAATTTGCTTTGTTTATGGCTTCACTCTATTTGACATGTTCAGAACTTTGGAGTGATCTCCGACTTGTCTGTGTGCATGGCTGTCCACACCCAGGCGGAGCCTGTGCTCAGCGTGTCCATTCTCCCCTGACTTCTATTCCTGCCTCCAACTGCGCGGAGTCCATTTTCCCTACCCAGTGCATTGACCTCTTCACTGCCTCCTGGCTCCCACCTCACCTTTATCTGTTCGAAGGGAGCGGTGCACTTCTATACAGGTCACATTCTTATTCAGAACCTCTGACGTCTTTTGAGGTCAGTGGGGCATGAAGTGCAGGGTTTGTTTGTTTGTTTGTTGTTGTTTTTAAGCATGGGATTGATAGTGATCAGTGAGTTGACTTCATCCTGATTTTCTGACTGACTTGCCGACCATCCTCTTTCATGTTCTTTGTGCTTTAGGCAGGCTGGACTGCTACTTTTCCTGAATATGCACTAAATGTCTCACTGCATCATTCTAAGTCCTGTATTAGCTATTACACAAATAGATCATGCCTACTACAGACCAGGTATTCTCCTTGGCACTAAGGATGAAATGGTTAATGACGCAATCAAAAAAGACTAAGACAAAATGGCAGAGGGTGAGTCTGGAGAGAAAACTGATTTATAGGCTGTTCTTTTTAAAAAGTTACTTGAGAGAGAGCAAAAACAGTGAGGATCCATCTCTTGGATACTCCCCAAATGCCTGCAAAAACACCAGGACTTGGGGCTGGGTACAGGATCCAGATATCCCATGTGGTGGCAAGAATCCAATCACTTGTCAACGCTGCTGCCTCCTAGGGTCTGCATAAGCAGGAAGCTAGAGTCAGGAGATGTAGAGTATGGAACCTGGGTATTCTGGTATTTGACTTAGGTGTCCTAATAGTTATCTTAACCAACAGTCTAAAATTTGCCCCATAGACAGGTTTTTAAAATGTTAAGCTAGACAGGTTTTTAAAATGTTAAGCTAAGTAGTTTAAACTTTGTCTTGATGAGATAGATACCATTGAAGAGTTTTAAAGAGAAGAGTAACATCCCATCTGAATTTCAGAAAATTCACTTTTTTAACATTTATTTTTATTTATTTGAAAGGCAGAGGTTTATAGAGAAGGGGAGAGATGGATCTTCCATCCACTGGTTCACTCTATTGGGCTGGTCTGAAGCCAGGAGTCAGGAGCTTCTTCCAGGTCTTCCACGTGGGTGCAGGGGTCCAAACACTTGGGCCATCCTCCATTGCTTTCCCAGGCACATTTTTAGGGAGCAGGATCAGAAGTGGAGAAGCCGAGACTCAAACTGGTGCCCATATAGGACTCTGACTTTTCAGGTGCTTTACCTGGTATGCCACAACACCAGCCCCTTGTTTTTACTTTATAATGATAAATAGGTTGGAGAAGAATGAGACATGAAGTGTGGAGAAAAGTTAAAAAGTTGGTTTAACAGTCCAGCCAAGAGATGATATGCATTTGGATTAAGAAACATTTGAACTAGGATGGAAATGTGGGAATGGTTTTTTTTCTTGAGAAGTATTTAAAGGCCGAATTGATAGTGTCTGGCAACTCATTAAGTGATTAGGGATGTCTGTTAAGGGGGCATGAAGGGTTTCATTTTTAGTTTGAGTACTTTTAGCCAAGATAGAAAATGTAGGAGAAACCCTTGGGATAGAGAGAGTGCATCATAAGATGAGTCTTGAGTGTGTTAATCTCCAGCTGCCAATTGGTTTATTTATTTTTTTTTTAAGATTTATTTACTTTTAT